TCCACTGCTTGCAGACACATCAGAAAAACCCCAAAAAATATAATAAAGATATTTAACTGCTCAGAATTTGACAGGAATTGAACCTAGAAAACCCAGATAAGCCATTTAAGGGCCTGTACATAAGACAACTAGCTTGATTATTTATGTTTATTTATTAGAGTTCATATCCCCTCCCTCCCCTCCGAAACTGCACATAAAAAATATTGATTCTCCATAACCATTCTCCATTTTTTTTTTGTAAAGGGAAGTAAACATTTGATATCATGAACTAAATAAAGTATAAAAATACTATATATTTGGTTGCAGCATGAAAATATCTATTATATCCATGTTTGCATTATAATTGGTCACAAAAAATCTATTATTTTAACTATTTTGTTATTTTGAATCAACATTTGCATTGTGTTGTAAAAGTGCACAAATTTGTCTAATCCCCCTCCCCCTAGCATACTGTTTGTACGCTTGTGAAAATGTTGAAAATTGTAGACAATCCCCTTAAGCAAGTACGTTATTTTATTTTATTTTTTTTTTGTTTTATGTTCTAGTTTGAAACTGAAAGTAATTTAAATATTAAATTTCATTGGCTGCTTGGTAGTGGTCAAATGGTAAGTCTGTGATGTAGAAACATAGGTAATCTGTGTTTGTCTCTTTCTACCCAGGAGTATAAATTGATGATTAGGAATGCAATAGTTCGGGTACAGAATTAGCTGCTTGAATAAGAAAAACTCTCAAGCGAGTGGAGGATACTGTTCTTGTGGTAAAGGAATAGTAGAGCAGGCTTCCCGTTGTGCATAACTATTTACACCTCCATTAATCTAGGGTAATAATCAAAATGAGCAATTTAATTTAAAATTTTTGATTTTTTCTTTTTCCATTTTTAATCTTTTAGAGCTAACATAATCCTGGTTTCAATAAAGTTGCCATGGATGGACGGATTTATTCAGTGTAAACACCAAGAATAACATACAAAAATCTAAAGTACTGTACACTAATTTCCAGTGGGGTCCTTCTGGTGGTGATTGGGCTGTACACCGGGAGACAATCCCCTACCCTTTTCCGAAGAGTGTACTGCATTCTTTAACATGCACATTGGGCCATAAGGACCAACGGGTTAAACGTCTTATTCGAAAGACAGTGCGTTTATATTGTAACTTGCATTTCAGCCCTGTAGCTGAAATACAAGGACAGCATAGCATTACAAGTACAATAAAAAGGAATAGAAGCTATTAAACAACACTTAAGCTTCCTTTTAAATCTACTTTCAAATTATTATTGTGAAAGGAATTACTATGTATACAAGTAATTTATAACTACCACTTGTTGTTGCTATTTCTGTCTGTTATTTATTCTGATAATCTTAAAATAGATATGTCATAAAGTGCTTTGTTATGGATGAAAGGGAACTTCAATGTTAAATAAGCTGCAACTATAAAAATAGCCTTGTATAGCAAAAAATTCAGGCGGAACTACAATAGTAAACATTGCTTCAAATGTTGCATTCAAAAACAGCTTATCGCAATCTTTTCTTCATAATACCTAAGTGACTTTTTTTCTGGGTGGGTTAATTCCTTAATTTTTGTGTGTGTGTTTCTGTTTGACGTTTCTTCTGTCCGTTTTTTGATGTTTTCTTCTTTCGTGTTTTGTCTGCTTTGTTTTCGATTATTTTGTCTTGTCTATGTGCTTGTGTTGGATCTGTGTTTTGTCTCCTTTTGTATGTCTGCTTATTTATTTTTTTATTTTTATTTATTTATTTTTTATTTATTTATTTTTTTTAATTTTTAATTTTTTTTCTTTCTTTTATTTCTTTATTTTTTTTCGCAACTCTTAGCTTAAGATGTCATTCGCAATATTTTTATAAAAAAATTTACCTATTCCGATTTTCTAATGTAATTTTATTAATCATTTACTTGTTTTGCATTTGTTTGTTTATTTTCTTATCTGGATTTTTTATCTGGATTTTTTTGAACTTGCAATTTTTAGCTTAAGATGTAATTTTTCGCAATATTTTTGTAAATTTCTCTATTCCATTTCATACTGTAATATTATTAATCAATTTGTAATTTAGATGTAATTTCTCGCAATATATTTGTAAATTTCTCTTTTCCATTTTATATTGTAATGTTATTTATCAATTTATCTTTCACTTGTTTATATTTTTCTATATATTTATATGTATTATAAGACATCCTGTAATTGGCTTCCGCTGTTGGATGATTTTCGAAATAAAATAAATAAAATAAAATAAAATAAATTAAATTAAAAAAAACAGTCACTATAATGCTGTGAGAATATATCCTATAATTTATATTCTTTAATTAAAACCAGGGCTGAAATGTAAAGCATAAAATAGTGCACCGTCCTTCGGAAGAGACATTTAAGCTGTTGGTCCTGTGTGCAATATGAACATTGTGCATAGTAAAGAATGCAGTACAGTCTTCAGAAAAGAGTAGAGAATTGTTTCCTGGTCTACTGCCCAACTACCCCCAGAAGGACACCGCTGGATATAAGTACAGTTCCTGTATGGACTTCTATGAGTTACAGTAGGCCCATCCTTGGTATTCACACCAAATAAAATACAATACAATGTACGGCTTTGGCTTAAGCCTCTTCTGTTGGTATCACAAAGCGGTCGCGCCAGAAATTTGCCGACAAGGGGTCCGAGCCAAGGGGCCGACGAACCCTCGGTCGACGGCCCGGAATACAAAGCTCCCTTGAAGGGTTCACAGGGGGAGTTTTTATGGCCTAGTATGGTACAAGATGCGCTTTTAGACCACAATATTAGGGATTGGCAGGCACAATAACGTTATTTGGATTGGCAAATTATTATTTTTATAATGTTTGGTCTGACGACCTAGGGGGGTCTAAGCCTGCCCGATGAGGGGGGATGCCCACCCTGCTCCACCGCTGGCGGCACCACTGGTCTCGCAAGCAAAAGAAGCATCTGTTAATTGGTCAGGAAAACATACTCTTGTTTTTAATTTTAATTAACAAAAAAACTTATTTGTAGTAGGTCCTTAAATATACTGGATAAGTAAAAGCAACTCAATACATTTTAAGCTGAACAAAGAGTTAAGGTTTTGGGTGGTATCATTTCTTGTTACTTTTAGAATGTATGCGTCACCTTGTGAACAAGAAACGACTAAGGAAAAAATCGCTCCTGATAGTGTCTATAGATGCACGGATCATCTTCAGGAAATTGGAGGTAATCAATGTTCGGGGCACTGACGACAAGCAGGTCACCTGTTTTTACAAGGGGCACGCACCACCTCAATTTTGTTTAGATACGAGAAGAAAATATCTTATAACACTCTGTGAAATATAAATGGGTCAAATAATGTTCATTTGAAAATTAATTTAGGCTTTTGTTTTACAGCTTGTCTCATCTTCTTTCTAAGTCATACTGTATAACTACTACGAATATCGAACCAAGTTACAGCCTCTTTAAGGAATGACTAAGAGAGAAAATACTCAAGCGATTGTAGGCAGCTAAAAATAGCTATTAAAGCAATTCTGAAAAGGAAACGGGGTTGTAAAGTAAGGACAGAGAAAGATTTAAGTTTACCAGTTGAAAGACATAACACAAAAGGCCATGGATTTATCCATATCAAGATGCATTTCAAGGGACTACAGTATGTCCCAAGCCCTCTAGGTTTTGGTCACAATTCCCAATGGTCTTGGTCAACAGGGTCGCGGTCACTGAGGGTCTACAGTAAGCATGGAGGAAAGAAAGCAGGTGCAAGTCACTACAGTAGGTCAATCCCCTGGTTCTTGGGAACTTAGATTTTTAGCCCCAAGAATCTCAGCCCTTATAGTCCGGAGTATCTCAGTCACAATTATCTCTGTCCCGAGCCCCAGTACAAGTTAGTTTCTCCGTTCTTGTTGTACAGTACAACACTCACCAACAAGGGTTGTAATAAGTTAAGTCTCGCCAGACACTTTTTTCATGCAAATGAAAAAGAAACCTTTTTGTTATTACAGAGCTACGCTGGACTATGTTAACATAATCAAATGTTCATTTTAAAGTGTTTCTATTTACTATCATTACCGATATTATTTTAATTGTTATACTGCTAATTTATCTAAATTCTTTTGTATTACCTTAAGTATTTCTATATCTATTAAATCTATATTTATATTTATCTATATTTATGGGAGTTTTCAGACACTGCTAGGTCACTATACTTGTGAATACTGCCATGTGTACCTGGTCTTGACACCTGTGTTTAAACGTGTCCATACCTTTCTAAACTCATTTGTCTACAATTACACAAGGGCATACCTACTATGTTAATATACAGTACCTGTGTACAGATACAGCAATAATAAAACAAGTGGGCGGTACAGACAAAAAATGGTTATCAAGTGAGAAAATATTCATACTTTCACAAATGGATGTTTTAACGCTGTTAAATATTAACTACAATTTAATTTGACATTGACAAGCGGTGTACTCACTTTCATCTCAAACACTTCCATATCTTCAAAATATCACCAGCATTACAATACGATGTTGTTTTAAGTAGCATTTTAAGTGTCAACAATTCAGAAAGCTTTCTTAAAGATGTACATTTGTTTCTAGACAAGACTTTTTTTATACCTTATTTCGTAAACTTATTTTTTTTAAAGATTTTCAGGAGGGCGGGAAAAAAAAGAAAATAAAATTTTGTTTTCATTTAGCAAATAGTTTTGCCAAAAAAATCCAGAAGAAAATAAAAATAAAATTTTATTGGTGATGTAAACAGTGGGATGGTTAAATGCTTTAATCTGTATAATTAGGGAGATATTATCTTTAAGAGATTTCAAAGCAGCAGCAGGCGTAATAAAAACAAAAGAAAAACTTATATTTTTTTTCTAAAATCTCCATTGTTTTGCGGCGGCACATGCGTTTAATTGGACAAAAATAAAATTTTATCTTTATTCAAAATTATCATTATTGGCGGCCGGCGGATTTGCTAAACAAGGTATAAAAAAAATCTCGCCCTATGAGTTCTGTCATTTAACAACTTTAGCTCAATTATTCTTTGCCATAGATAGGAACATAAATTCAATGTGTTTTTTTTGTAATGAAAGTCTGTAAAATTTGCATTGTGGACAGGCTGTAATGTGGCTCAAGCTATGTATCAGCCCTATGTGCAAACATTTCATGGCATAAATATTTTAGTTAGGTAACCCTTAATACCTAAAAGTGATTTTCAGGCATTAAGCCAGTTTTCCACCAGGCGAATTTATTCCCGCGAATCGCAAATTTGTACCTGTATGCCTGCGCATTTGAGAATCTTGTTCGTATAGGCTAACATTTTCGATTCGCACGAATAAAACCATCTTTAATTGTTTGGAGTAATTTCAGTTAGAAAAAAAAACAAAAAACTGAAAACTGAAATAATTTGGTCCATGTCTTTTTGAAAGTTAACTTATTTATCATTTTATTACGAGTGATTAAAATGTTTTAAGTCAATGTTTGCCAGAATTGTAAATCTTTTCCTCTTCACATCCAAGGCCAGGAGCAAAAAACCTTGACTGTATCAGACCGACATAATTTTCACTATTAAAGTCTTAATTATACATCGGATTACAGGAGACATATCTTATAATAATCTTTTTTCATCAAGTACCAAGTTGATAGTACGAGGTTGATAACGAAAGATAATAATACCAGCAAAAAGGGAAGAGGCCATCTCAGGTGAAATACAACTGGTGTTGGTAGTAAACTGAAGAGGCCACTTAAGAATTAAGTACTGCTTTGAATTTAGTACTCAACTCTCAATCATAGGTTAAATTCTTGTCAATTTGTTGTGCACGCATACTCATATTTTTAACAGCTCTAGCTTAGTCGAGTGAACATTCGGTAAGGCAGGGGCACTGATAACTATAGCCTTAACATCAGCACTGGTTCAAGCCGCTCTCCTTGTCGAGGGTTCAGGTGGTAGAACCAAGTCTTCTTGGAAAAAGGACTTAAAAGAATGGGAGGTCTAGTGTATTGTATACAGTACATGTGATGTGTGAACCTATTGAAGAGTAGGGGGTTACCACGATGCTACAGTTCATTTCAGCTCCTGTGGTGGAATTATGTGAACTAAGCGCCTCTCTACATCTGCGACAGTAGTCAGACCATACCCATGCAATTCAGCACAACGACGCTGCGATTTATGGGTTATTCTCCCACATTTAATCCTACTATTTCAAACACCCTTAATTGAAAACATAAATAGTAAAAATTTAAGCACACAGAAATGAATAAATCAACAGAAATTCATTATTATAATATTCAACAATATTATTTAGGATTCAAATTTTAACATTCTATTATTTTATAAAAAAAAAAAAAGAATAAAGGCACTTCTTTTTTTTTTTTTAAACTCTCTGAGATGGCAAATTTAAGATTGTCAATGGGAAACAGCTACGACCTTCTCACTTTTATCAAGTAGATTTGAAAGCAAATAAAAGAAGCCGTAGACATGATTCATAGCATATGTATCCTCAACCATGGACGATCAAGAGAGGAATTTTACTGATGCGCGGTGACCAGAAAAAAAAAATCAAAAAATAAAATTTGGTGAGGCAGAGAAAATGAATGTGCGCGGGGAGACTAGAAACTAGCATTTTTTATTTATTTGGCATAATATTATATGATGGGATATGATACACCGATTATACCATAGCCCCAATATGATGGGACATGATACACAGATTCTACCATAGCCCCAATATGATGGGACATGATACACAGATTATACCATAGCCCCATGTGCCAAAATGAGGAGAACGAAAAAAGGTTAAACCAAACGAAGGTATTAAAGTAACCATAATGTTATTACAGATCAAATGTAATTAAGTGATGGATTTAATTTTTATTGATTAGTTTCAGAACAATCCATATCCCATCTAGTAGGCACCAATGTTAGTGCTCTCGAACAAAGATAAATTTGTGAGTACACTGTACTATACATATTAAAGCCCATATTGAATCAAAGCACTAATGAATACATGCTTAATGAAGTGAACTACAAAACTGTTACTTCCAGGGTCATACGAGTTCACCGACCCCTTGGTTTCATTGAAACTATAAATAAAAATAATCTGACAACAGGCCGTTCATGAGAATAGTGCATTAGTTATAACCACTCAACATCAGCGTGATGATTATGAGTTAAATACATTGTACGATAAGATACGATATACTTTTTATTGTCAAAATAAACTTTCATTACATTTGAGATGTGTTTTGCATCGCATACTCAGGTGAAAAAGGACATGCTGTATATCAAAGAAAGAAAATCTACATAAAACAAATCGATACAATATATACAGTATATAGAGCAAGTACAATATATATAATGAGACTATCTGGTGAAATTGAGATTAAAAATGTTGACAGCATTAACATGAATGAATTTTTAATTTACAATATGTTTCACAAAAATAGTATTATTTTGGGGAAATAATGTACTGCAACAGATATGTTTGGTATTCATTTGTTTAACTGAATGTTCGATGGTTTTAGATTTTACCATCAGAGAGAACCTCGTATACTGTGTAATGCACATTTTAAACTTTTAAGCCTACATGTTTTGTGCCTATAAAATGCAAAATTAATGCAATAATGATAATAATAATTCACATGAGTAATAATTAATAAGTAATTATAATTTACAGTACAGTACTTCAGGATGCATTACTTTACACCAGGGCTGAAAATTAGCAGTCACCTTTTTGGTGGCGAGCGATAATAAATATCTTGGGTATCGCCCGTCTGGAGACCCTTACTGGGCTCACGCTAACCGATAGTCCGTCATAGGTAAAAACTATTTTGGATTCGTGAAAAAATAACCAACTGCTTTTAGCCATTTTGGCAATGGCTTAAAATCATTTAAAAGTTTCAAATACTTGCTAAATACATAGTTTTTTTTTTCGTTGAAGCTCTATTTTTTGCCATTCCATAACCATGCAAAGTTTATCTGTGTTGTCGTATTGGTAGTCTAGCTCTGCAAACGTCATTGCGTGCTTTGCAATTTGTTATTTTAACGTGGTGGATGCAGGGCAGTGGCTGTATGACGACTACATGAAGGTGAATCACCTCATGTATGACGATTACATGAAGGTACCATATTTACGACAGCCGGCTTGCTGGTAGTGTACCATTTGGGCGCAAACTGGCGACAAAGTAGACCTAAAGGCAGCTGGCCATCGGGTACATAATGACTTCTGAGCTTTTGTTTATCCATAGAGGACTACCTACCTGTATGCTAAGGCCTAGATCGAGGTCTATGCGCGCGATGGTGGTAGAAATGTCATTAATAATTATTTAATCAATGATTTCTTGTTCTCGTCTGATATGTAAAATACATTTAAGTAATGCGTGTAATATTCTAAGAATGCACCACGTAGAGCAGAGTGATGGCAGTAGTACAGTAGCGGTTTAACCTGCCAAGGCTACATCTAGGCCTAGCCTACTAGGCCTAGGTCCAGATTGCAAGTCCTTGATCATCACAGTGAAAAATTTGGGTGACAGACGATTGGGCCCATTTCCAGACGAGCAGACCCAAGCCAATTTTGAATAATCCTTATTGGGACTTTATGTCCTGATACATAATTATGCTGAAAATGCATAAAATACAGGTTTTCTGGAGACGCTATCATTCCACAAACTCCCAAAAGTAGGCTATTTTCCTTGCTCCATGACCCCCTCCCCCGATATCGTTCTAAACTACTGTAAAAGGAGAATACTTTATGCCTACAGGTAGGCCTTCGTAATTTTTTCAAATTTGTGTTATATATTTAGAACTTTTAAATTACTGTACCTCGTTGGTGTGCTAAAAATATTAATTTGCCTATCAAATAACGTTATTTTGATTGCCAATCTCTAATGTGGTCTAAAATCACAATTTTGGGCCATAAAAACTCTTGTGTCAGTCGTGAACTAATACAATGGATTTTTTCTGGTACCCTGACCGAGATTCTTGACTGCTCGGACTAATGAATTTGGCTAAAGACAGATTCAATTGGCTCAAAAAAATTATCAAAATAATGTCATCTTGCTGGTTTTATTGAGTTTGTTTTTTCATAAAAATTATATTTTGGACCGTAAAAAAAAAATAGGACCAGTATAACTTTGGAAGGGCCAGTATCATTTTTTCCATACTGGCCCTGCTGGCCACTATGTTTGGAGGTTAATTTTCAAACACAAAAAAATCAAACATACAATTTCACATGCCCAACAAAATAATTAATAATTAAAACAGGCTTTACGAAAACCTTTGAAAAAATTAAACGGTTTCATGTTTGAGTAAAATGGTTTCTGACACTCGTGTATTCTGGAGAGAATTTTGTAATATTGGGGCGTGGCTGTAACATAAGTGACTGGATATGGTACAACTCTAATAAACTGATGGATCAAAGCCTGCACAAGATATAAATTAAAATGATGATAATGAGGTTCACATGATCCCCAGAAATTTTGTTTCGTGATCTCGCAAATGAATCTCGCAAATAAATTCATTCTCACAAAGGAATACATTCTTGTAATTAATGAATACGTTCGAGGTCGACGCTTTCTAACTTATTAATTAAATCAGCTGAATCGTAATTAAAAAATCTAGGTAAAAAAAAATCACTAAGCTGCATTCTTTTTGAAAATAATTTCATACTTTTTCCTATTAGAAAATTGCGTGAATAAATTAGTATTTGGTCTTTTCGTGTTCAAGTACCTTTACTGATTTCATTCACACATGCCAAGAAAATGATTGCTTTCCCGTCTAGTCCCGGATATTATAAAACGAGAGTTGGAATGAAGAAATTGATGAGACGGATGGTACACTATGAGTATATTAATGACAAAAGATGAACAAAGACGAACAGAATGCAGACTGCAATTATTGCAGGTGCATTAAAATCATCATAATTAATATTACTATCAAAATGTGAACATAATAATTTTAGTCTTCTTAACTTAAATACTAACATTACCAATATTATTGGCACTGGTTATAATAATACAGCAAATGCTCACCTAAATTTGGTTCAAAATAAGAATTATACTGACGAGCTAAAAATAGATTTCAAGTGTACATATATGCTGTGGAATGCCATTGATCAGAACATTTGGTCTTGGCGATAAAAAATCCCAGAAGGGACCACCTTAAAATATCCTAAGAATCCTTGTATGGACTTGTATGGTACAGAAACTTGAAACATTGAGATTGCAAGAAAGTTAGGGACAAACTCAAATAGAATAAATTTATTCAATACATGAATACGGATTAAAAGGTGGTGTCTGGAACTGAATGATGTAGAATGTAAAATATTCTCAGCCAGTCCAAATCTTTTTCTGTAGACAAAGAGTTCAAAAATGCAGAAATTTTTGCATCGTTTTTTGGGGTGTGAATCGAATACAGTACAAGTACTACTAGGTTGCTAGTGGTTTTTGGAAAATAAAAGAAGGTCCCTATAGTGGGTGTATTGCAACTGTACTCCTGAAGTTTAATTTTATTTTTGAAATTTTTGACAGGTGGATTAATCCCAAAATAATGCTTGATAATCAGAAAATATCAAAATAATTGTTGACTTACAGTACTGTATATAACGCATTGTGGAGACCGCTATGCACTTAACATTATTATTCCCGGTCATCGGATCAAGCACATATGGAACACGTATTCTTGTCCCTTCAAAGAATTCCATAATGTTGCAGCTGTAATCAGCGCATTTTTGTGTTTGAACCTACCAGGTACCTACTTTTACTCCTGGGTGGGAGAAGACAACCATAGGTAAAGGTTTTTACCGAAGGACACAAGCGAAATAGACAAGGAGAGATTGAACCTCCGACCTCAAAGTGGAGAAGAAGAACTACAGCCTCTGCGGCAAAGTGCTGAATGGTTCGATATATTTCATGACCTGTGCTATCCTTCAATCTCATACCTAATTCTCTTCTCAAGGATTAACTCAGAAAAAAATTTTTAATGGCATTAACTTGTTTTAACACGTAGACTACCAAGCCTTTTCCTAGTTCCATCCCAAATGCAAAGGCAAAAAGGGCACCACCATAATGAAAATAATTTCCATCAACTGTAGTGACACACGAATAAACATTAGTTATTTTTACATCATTACTTATGGGTCCTTCCCTGAACCTCCAGGGCTTGAGTTTGTGTTCTTGCGACCACTGCCAGCTAACATGTTTACGTGCAATACAATTGGACAGGTGTGGACAAAAACTCACGTCCTTGGCTCCTTGAGTTAACCCTGTCTAACGTAAACTCGTGTCCTTTGCATCAAACGTGTTAAACAATAAATGCATGGTTTCTGTAAAATGGTTTTTATTCATCATGTAAAATGGTTGGATGAGGCTTATTGTACAGTAGATATCAGATTGGTACGATAAGCAGTATCTACGTGAGGCACTATTCAGGCATCATTAACTTTCAAATATTCATCAACTTATATTCCAGAGTGCGGATTTGTTCTCAAAAATTGTTACTTACCCACATTTGGATCAGAAAACTTGAGAGGAAATAATAGTCACTACAAGTGCAAGTTCACAGTGCAGTAGAGAAATGCTGGTCTCGCGATTTTGCTTACGATAAACTGTACTATAACAATTACAACTACAATATGTTCAAAATTCTACGATATCGTACGCTTCAAAATGACTATTTGCACATGGAATGTTCCATAATACCTTTCACATCTTACCCAAACTCCTGTGCACCAGACGATTTTAGACTTTGCGTATCGTAGCGCAGCTTGTTATAAGCAAAAATCATAAGACATAGTATAGAAAATATGAGTTCCTACCTAAGATTCCTTTGTTTCGTGTGTCACCATCTCCATCGGTCAACTCGTACTGACTCAAGTCCTTGAGGTACTCTGCCGTTTTAGCGGATATATGTACCATTCCCTTCTTACCGGCCCCTTCCATCTGATTGGCTGTAGACACTGAATCCGACCACACATCAAATTTGAAACGTTTCTTGCCGATGATACCACAAAGAACCATCCCAGTGTGGATACCAACACGCATATCAACATCTTCGTTACGATCTCTACAAAAGTCCTTAATAGCATCTATCATTGCTAGGCCCATCTCAACACAGCACTTTGCGTGATCTTCCCGGCGTTCAGGACAACCCGACACACAGTAGTAGCAATCGCCTAGCGTACATATCTTCTCACAACCGTGAACTTCACATAACTTATCAAAGCGTCCGAATAGATCATTAAGTAAATCAACAAGAACATCCGCCGTCTTCTTTCCGCTCATTCGTGTGAAACCTACAATATCAGCGAAAAGAATACTAACTGGCTCCATACGCATCATAAAAAATTCGCTAAAAGCTGTATGCTTCTTTCTTATTTCCTCTTCCCCCATAATTTCACCAGCCAGATATTTTGGCATTACAGAGTGGATCATTTTTTCTGTGTTCTGTTTCTCGACCTCAAGTTCGTGCCGAGTTAGCGTGGCTTGTGCGATTTTCCAGAATGTGCTGTGACTACGAACTTGGGTCATGAAGAAGATATGGAAGCCAATTAAATGAATACATAGATGTAGAAAGAGCTTGGCGAAGAGTTCCTTTACAAATTTAGTTTGCGTGTAATTGCCATCAAATTTGTAAGAGTAATAGAAGAAAAAGAACTCGTAGACAAATGAGAATATAAATCCGACAGGTGCGCATATGTATAACGGCATAGGTAGCACAGTATACATCATGAGAATGATTTCTAAGCACATTGCGAAAGTCGATATACTTCTTGTGATGAACGAATCAGGTTTACACACAATAATTGAGACAAGTGTCAAAGTGCACAATAATAGCGACATGATCACGGATGATAATATAACATGCGATTTGTAATGTTCAGACCTTGAATACAACAAAAAACCTATTGCTATAACACAGACTACCAAACTCGAGGTTAGTAACACCACCCAATCGCTCTGCTGTATCGAACCATTGTAAACCACCCAAATAAATGACATCAAAATCGTGTATTGCAGCGCATACCGGAAGCGATTCTTCAGCTCAGGAATCAATAGTCGCTGATATTGTTCCTCAATTTCTTTTGAGTCAAATGTTGGGTTAAGCCATCGCTGAGATGCACGCTCAAATAGCTTAGGGCACCGGAACATTGATGATTTTCCTTCGGATGACATCCCCTCACTAATTGATGGCTGCGATTCTCTCTTCTTGTCCTGGATCACTTCAACTTCAATCGAGTCCTCCGTAATATTAGTGTTCTTTTGTGACTGATAAGACACTTTCATATCTTTTTCAGAAGCCATGTTGGTTTTCCTTAGGACCACTAACTATAGCAAAATAAAAGCTGGACCATAATCCGTAGTTGGGTGACGGTGAACGTTGTAGAACTAAATAATCAGAAACCAGCTCGTCATTGGCCAGGCATCGAATGATTCATCCTCCTCTGAGGTCTGAAAAAACAAAATGATAAAACATGTCAGCCTTCATCAATCAATCAATCAATTTGAGTAAATAAAAGCTATATGATTATTACTACATGGCTAAAATATGTAGGCCATTACCATCGCTAAATAATTTCAAAAATAACAATCGTATTGAATTCATAATAGTTGTACTGGTACCAAGGGTTAAATTACAGTTTGAAATATCACCATTAAACTGTGTTTACTATCATCTATGCAATGAATTTCACAATCAAAATACTACTGGTATATACCTGACAGGATTTCTACGTGGTCCTCTATTATTTTCCAATTTATGATATGCCTATATATATATATATATATATATATATATATATAGCCATGGTGTGGTTATGGTCATGATGTGATGTCATCATAACCATAAAATACTGTTGTATGCCCATATATAGTCATGATGTGCTATATATGGTCATGATGTGATGTCATCATGACCATATTTAGGAATGTCACATATTTTTGTCAAATACAATGTGATAGTTTGGACAGTGCTTTTAGGGGTCATTCATGATATTTCCATCATTTTCACAAGAGTGGAAAAAAACAGACTTATAGTGGAGTAGTGAATCAACTGTATATTCTTTTATGGAAATGAAGACGTGACCTTAAAACGACATGACCATCATCCGTTTAATATGTACTATGTTATGAGAAGGGTGCATTGAAGGAAAGAGTGTTTTAAACTCTTTTGAAAATGATGATGAATGAGGATAAAGGCATGTTTATACTTACGATAACGATAAAAAAGCTAAAAAGCAATTGTTCATAAAATAAATGAAATAAGAGAAGTTTTTACAATAGAACGATTCGACAACGATTTATCAGTTATGCGATAACAACATATTTTGACAAATCAAATGACGTCATAATCATGGACAAATGATAAAATCGTTGCTACTACGACATCTGATTTGATTGTTAAAATATATTTTGTTATTGCATACACGATAAATTGTTATAGAATCGTCCTAGTGTAAAAACTTCTCTTATTACTTTTGTTTTCTATATGAACAATCGCTTTTTAGCATTCTTATCGTTATCGTTGAAGTGTAAACAGGCCTTTACTCTTAAGTTGAATGTATGGTCCCACAATTTACGTGCTGAGCGGTTGGCTGAGAGCATTGTTCCTGCTTCTTGTGAAGAAGACCCCCGGTTAAACCCAGCCAGTGTTGCGTTTTAATTGAAGTCTGATCCCTTGTCTCCTCAAATAACCCTCATGCAGAGTTAGGCGGGTTAAGGACAATGTTTGTATCCGTGTATGTCGGATATGTTTGTAGTAATCACATTAGTTACTGGAATTTGTATACAGGCTTGCCTGCAAGGTTTTGGCATTTGTTTGCCAGTTGAATGGATGAAAATAAATTACTTACTATTTATCTATATAATTGTGTAATGCAAAAAGTACCATATAAATTATAAAAATTATTATTATAAAGTATAATAGAAGTACCATAATCATAAAGGTCAGTGCAGTACTTGCAAGGCAATTTAAAAAAATCCTCTTTTCAATTATGAAATTTTTTAAAACTTACATTATGAATGTTGTTAGAAGATGAGCTGCAAAAAATTGCCTGCTTATTATTTATCTTCCTAATTATTATTGTTCACTAATAATATTTGTAAATGCCTTCTTTTGCTATTTTAATGCACCTAGACACAGTAATGATAGCTACATCCCTTTAAGTCCCATCTTCAATGCAATTAAAGCCAGGCTCCAAAGAAAAAAAAATGTTTATATGTTGTACAACTGATTTTCTAAGACCCAAAAAGCATATTGGACGAAAAACTTGGGAACAGTTAATTAGGTATCAGATTTTTGAACATTTAAAAAACATTGGGAAAAGGTGGAAGAAATAAGAGTGGTTAACAATTCATAATTTTCCCTTTGATACTTTTGTGTCTTATACCCCATTCAGACTAGCATCGCATTGCGATTGGTTGTAGCAATTGTGACACCCAATTGCAAAGTAAAATCGTGTGTGAAAGCTCACCAACAGTAGTCGATATGTAATCAATATCGCAATTGTTACCTGTTGCAATTGAGTGCTACAATCTTTATTACTCCCCGATTATCAAGGAATCCGATCGCAACGAATCCCAACGAATTCCACAGGCACTGTTTGGCTGAGGTCAGTCAACATACTGTAGGCCTAGCCACCGGAGGCCTGGCCCTAGAATGTAAAGTTTGCTTGTGTTGGTCTGCGTTCGTTCATTGCGATCAGGAATAATCAGTTTTGGATTACCACCGATTACAACGCAACCGATCGCAACAGAGTGTAGTCTGAATAGGGTCTTAGAAAAAGTCAGTTGTGTGATGCAGTATATCAAAAACTGTTTTACCTCCAGAGCTGACCTTAAAAGTATACTGTAAATGTGTTGTCAAAATTTAGTTGTGTTTAAAATAGTAAATTACGATCGAAAAACAGGGGATCGTCTTCTACACGCAACACATATAGAGTACTGTACATATTTTATTTTAAAATTGTCTTATGCGCAGATCGTCCGCAAATCGCAGCAAATTTGCTACTGAAATAAAACTAGCAATTGTTGGTATGAATTAACATATTTTTAAATGTGGGTAAATAAGCCTTTTATGAAAATAAAATGGTATTTGGAAGATTTCAGTAGCCCTACATTTGGCTCCATTTTTAGCCAGCTAGATGTAGTATCAAAACCATAAAAAGGGGGAGGGGCTTGTCTTATATGCTAGACATAAAAATATTATACAAATATCTTCTAAAAAAATGGGGGTTGTCATATACATGGAGCACCTTATGACAGCAGTTTATTTTTTTAATTAAATTTATTTGAAGAATTATATTTATTGTAAATGAGCAGTATGGGGAAAATTAGAAAAATAATTAATAACAGCCCAAGTTTGTTATTGTTACTATATAATAGTAAATTGATTTTTGATACATAATTTGTCACTAATTATAGCACTGTACAATTAACTTAATTAGATGAAACTGACCTTTCTATTGTTAAAATATGCCACATGTATATATAGCGAATTGTGCTATCAAATTTACTGCTGTACAAATATAGATTTGTTTTCTTACGTTTCTACAATGCAGTTGATTAAAACGAATGTCATTTGATATCCAACTGGATTAAAATAATAGTAAGAGATAAAAATGGATTCGAAGTTATTAATTTTATTAGCAGTTGTTTATTAATGGCGTCTTTCCACTCCATTGACCCCGATACATTTAGGTACGTATCTGAGAAATATATGTTTGTCGAACCATGTGTCAGAACCATATGTCAGTTGATTTACTGTTCTATATTTAACTGAAAGTGCAATATTTATGTGCATTCCGACTAACATATTATTATTAGAAATTATTTATAATTATTATTATTAATATTATTGTCATACATTTAATATTGTGCAAATTCCATAACAATGTTCAAATGCACATTACTCTAAATTTGGCAAGTTTACAATACTTTTAATATTTAATTACAAATACTACTTATTTTAAGATAAAAAGCCAATATTTTTAAATTGAATTTAGAAATTGTTGGATTTACACACATCTCAGAAATCTCCCACTTTCTACCACTATTTCTAGAAGCTGGTCTTAAGCCTTGTCTTATGCGAAAATATAGGGTGGTATTCTTTTAATAATTTGGCTTTTCTTGCTCTTTAGGCACTGCGAGACTCTGGCGGGGTAACTAACAATACTCCAGATATTATTATTTATTAAATAATCAGTAATATTTAGGCATGTATAGCACCCTTTACCAGAGTTGTACTTTTTAGAGAAAAAAGAAGCGATTGGAAGAGTGGAACTGTTGAAGCATAACTGATGACGGTGGAAAGTTGGATACATTCAAGTACATCACATTTAATGCCACAAAGCAACAAGATACTTTCTACTACTATTTAACTTATTTCAAATAATTTCTCCATGTGTATCTTTTACTAATTCTCTCAATACAGTAATGGAATTAATAAACAAAATCCTTTAATGAACCTATTTCTAAATTCTTGGTTTCAGATTGCAGTGAAAGATACGATAGTGTTCTTTGCTTTGCATATTAAATGACTGTTGAGGACTTTTTCTTTAGTTTCGATAGAAGATCAGACCAGTACAGTTATTTTCTATCAAAATCGATCCATAAAATTTATTCACCAGTCACGTATACATCTTATGAAAGAGTATATTAAATTCGACAGTATACTGCAATATGCAAATATTGGTTTTTAATTGTTTTGATGAATCTGATCAGATATAAAGCCTTTTTCACACCTTGTTGCACAAAGTTATTTTTGTAAAAAAAATTTTCTCATTAACAAAATGATTTTGGCAACACCATCTTGACAGGAGGAAATAAAAATAAAATGTTATTAAAAAATTAAATAGTGTAGTAATGAGATAGATAAATGCTTTAAATTTCTATAATTAAGGAAGAAATATATCTTACTTTTTGAGATTCCAGGGGTGCAGAGGGCATAATTTTAAAAAAAATATATATATATTTTTTTTTTATTAAATTTTCATTTTTTAGTAGCGGATTGTGCGCTAACTGGCCAAAAACAAAATTTTATTTTTATTCAAAATCACCATTATTGGCGGTCGGCAAGTTTCCTAAACAAGGTTCAAAAAAAGACTCGCCTAATCAAAATATATACAGTCAAATCAAATAGCCTACAGTAACTGCAAAACTGGTAAAATGTACGGTAAGAATAATTAAGGTAAGTTCCCATCTGTAATCTGAAAATTTAATTATCAATAGTTAAAACTGAAGTTTCTCAAATGAGAGAATTTGATGCATTATATATTAATTATGTATGCAGGTAAGACATTCACTGTGTAACTAATGGTTTTCAAATTCTATCCCATTGTAAGTGTAGAGAGCATGGCAAAAATATGTTAAAAATCAATGTCTATTGTACATGAGGCTACTTCAACAGGGTATTGCTATACCCTGCATACCCCACAAACCTCCAAAAAAAAAACCACTGCAAACCCCATCCAAACCCTGTGATAATGATTGAATCACATAGTATAGGTTTAGCAATACCCCTTCAACATGCTAACATTACAATTTATTCTGTCATTAAACACACTGCCGATAGGTTAGACACGAAAATGTTGTTGTAGTCCTTGAACCACTGCAGCGAGAGTTTAAAAAAGAAATATATTTTAGCAGTGATCACTACAGGCGAGAACAGGCAATCTGACAATTGAGCTTAGCAATTTAGATGGGCTAATGTATGCGTCTTATGTCTGGTTTCCATAAAACCGCTACACTGTCGCTACAGTGTTTTTAGACAATCACTGTACTGCGTACTGTAGCAGTCCCCGACGCAATCAGGAAGGTTCACCGATTCAACCGACCAATCGGCATCACCGAAAGCTGTGGCTGATAGGGTGTAGAGATTGAAACCAAGCTTAATAATATATAATATTTTTCTAGCCAATTAACAGTCACACATATATAATAAAAGAAATTTCTTGCACTAGACCCATAATTTTTCTGAGTATTATCAACTTCAGGTGGACAGAGAAAAGATTTGCTTTCTCATTTAGCCATTTCGGTCTAAAGCACCAAGGCAGAAGAAAAATCATATTCATAAAATAGTTTTTGAGGGACAATAAAGGATGCTTTAGGATATCAAAAACGATTCTTTTGTGTGGTTTTGATGTTCGATGAAAACATATTAGTAATCAAATAGAAAGGCTATATTTATCTGTAAGGACAATTTGTTTTCTCTTACATGTAAGGATGACACGGCAATGGCAGGCTAATTAACATTAAACAACTTCTTAATTAAAAGTTGTTACAGACACTGATGTTAAATGAATCAAACAAGCCAATTATGCAAATTGCTTGTGATATTTATATTTTATGACATAAAGTTTGCACATGTAAATCATACATTTTTTATTAAGACTGAATTAGTAATTAACAAAAGAATACTGAAATTGCCAATTAGCAATAATATTCAATCTTAAAGCTTAATCAATACAACAGGTAAAGGCTGAATTAATTATTTGGTAAATTAGCAAATGAACTGCTTGGCTTAGAAAATAAAATACTCTATTTAATCAATTCATGTATGCATAAAGCCCGTACAATACAATTATATTACATTCAAGTAGAGCTATAAATGACTGAATAGAGAACTCATGAGACTCTGATAGGTCATTAGTTGCCGCATGAGGTCAATAACAACAGCTCTCAATTGTTTTCCTTCCAAGATTTTTAAGGGAATTAAAGCAGTTGTAGCACATTTGTAAAGGAGTGGCAAGTGTTCCCGTGGAAACTATGTCATCGATCGTTGCAATTTTATACCTTTGGGCAAATAATGTCTTTCAGCAGTTGGTCGGATCTCCTTGACCATTGGTCAACAATAGGCCTGATGACCAGTGATAGCAAATATGCAATAAGGAACTGAGTATACACGTTGTGTGTCTTACAGTATTTAACTCAACACTTACTATCGACGGATGCATCTACAAATCATTATCAAAGGCTCTGCAAAGTTTAGCACAGAGTACACTCTCAAAATTCTAACTCTTATTAGTCTAAAGTCACAGTTGCACTGAACCGTGGGCAACATTCCAATGGGTAAATCTTACCACTGTTCGAAACTTGGATTAATTGACGTGGTTAGTTTTACCATAAGTCATGGTAAAACTAACCGAGTCCTAAAAGCCTAACTGAGCGGTAAAGGTCATCAACTTCAGTGACTCAGGAAGTTTAACTGACTTGTACTGTTTGAACTGGACTTTTCCTCTCTGCAAAACTAGCTCAATTAGTTTTCCTGAGTAAACGGAGTCGGTTAAACTAACCGTGCGAATCAGGTTAAAGTTACCTGAGACGAAAGTTTCCTGGGTTGCTGGCACTGGACTTATTATGGGTAAACTAACCGGCGTGTTGGTTAGCTTTAATAAAATAAGTCCTTTAGGATTGTGGCTTAAGAATGACTTCCGAGTTTTATCATAACAGTCAATTTTAATCAATTGATTTTTTAAAAATATATTTGTTCCATGAGAATTATAGGAAAGATATAGAGATTCTTTTGGCTTTTGTCTATCTTCTATCCAGGAAAAATCTTTTGTATTTAAATACAATTTAACTATAAAGCCCTATTCAGACTATGGAATTTTATTTGACAAAATCATGTGACATACCTGACTATATAGAGGCTCATCATGACTATATATGGTAAACAGTTGCATAGACAGACACAAAAAGTGTAAGTGCAGACATTTAGTCTAATATAAAAAAAGAAAAATTCTACGTGCTTGTGTCTGTAAATGTTTACAGTTAAAAGTTTTTCATAGGTGTGCGAGATTAAAAATTGTTGCACCATATTATGACCTGATGACATGTTTGCCTGAGCCTGACTTACTGTCTCTTGGCTCATTAAACTTCATGACTAACTGCACCCTATAACCCACACTATTCTGGACAACTATCCTACATTACTCTACTGAATGATAACAGTACTAGATCAAATTTATGATTTTTTCTAGCATCAAATCTTAGCTTCAATACTAAAATTTATTCTTCCGAAATTGAAGCAAATTTATATTTCTGACCATCCTATCAAATAATTGTTGGAAATAGGTTTTCTTACTGTTCTCTGAGCAAAGTAATAAGAATGTTAGCTAAACCCTGATTTTCAAAATCCACACTACACCCTTCAAAAAATATTTTACAATGCATTTTATAACATGCACGTAATAAAATTATAACAGCAATAAAACTGATAAAATCCATTTATGAAATAATCCAAATAAACATTTGAGTTCCATCTTCAGTGGCCATTCTTAGCTTGATTCTCTTTTAATAACAAAAATTTATAATAATATTATGTATTATAACATAATATAATTTTTCAATATCATTATATTGCATATTGAATTAAATGAGTCACAAAACATTCAAGAAAAAAAAGTTGACATCTTTTCAGAACATAATAAGAAGTATATCTGTAAAGGTATTGCATTATTTGACCAGGATGCAATAAATAATATACTGAATAAAGAATACAATTCTAATCAATAGCCTCACAGTATTGTAATTTTGTTTTGTGTGTCCTTATTTTAAATAGTTCTTATTCTGAGGCACTATATTATATAATAATGCATTTGAATAAAGACTGCTGCAACTGTCGTTTTGTCTCAGCCCACACTAAGCCAGAATACAATGATCCATTGTCAAGTTTGATTGGGCTAACGCTAAGTGGAAAACAGTAAATCTGCATATAATACAAATATAAATCAATCATGACTGAGTCATTGATAATGACTTAGAATGAAAAACAAAAATAAGCAATCACAACATGGTTTATTCTTGGTTAAGGCTAGATCTAGGTCTGGCCTAGGTATTCATAGCTACGCCTGCCCTGCCTAGGCCCTAGGTAGCCAGTAATTCAAATGGAAGGTACAACACAACAGTCAATTACTAGGCCTAAAAGGATTTAGGTACTGTATTACAATCAATAGCGAAGTTATAAAAACGAAACCTAAAACTATGTTTACCAACATGTTCAGACAGGACGACCAAACGTTAAATAATACTTCTTACCTTTACGATAACCTAATTTACTGTAAGGGCCTTTATTCTAGCATAGACTTGGCCCAGGCATAGGCCCTAGGCCTAGTACTAGTAGGCCTAGGTGCCTACACAGTCAAGAGACGTTCGCAACTAGAAACCACATTAACATTAACAACAAGACCCCGTTGGCATTGTGTATGTTGCCCTAAAGCAGCCAACTAAAACACACGTCTACTTGTTCTCTCTACCCATAGCAATTTACGAATCAAATACACTCTAGAAGCATTAAAAAAAATCAACTGTGCATTAATTACTATGGATCATAACTTACCTGGAAGCTAAGCCAACTTTATTAAAACTGTCGAGAAGGATCACGCCTGGGATGGGCTACAACTGGTTTCGGCGGTCAGAAAACAGTTACATCGATCGCCTACTTTGTCAGGTGTCTGGTGCCGTGTATCCAGTTCTATGTGTACAGACCTTAGCTCTGACAAGCACACCGGCTTGCTCAATGCAGCCTTACGATTGCACCTTTATATTTCTGCTGTCACCCCCTCTGTTTAATAATAATACTTGATGAAGTTCCACAATTAATACAAGAACATTATGCCATTATTCATTGTAATCTGACAACCTAATTGAATTACAACAAATACTGTTGTATACAATTATACTTAAGGGTCATATTTAGTAAAAAAAATGGAATATTTAATGAATAGCTAGTTACCGAAAAAGGGAGACTGAACACCAGCCTAAATTGCCACGTGATCCAACAACTTGAGGGCTCACGCTACTGTAATGTATCGAAAAACTCGATCAAACAAAAACCACAGATCGGATGATCGCTATTGATCTGATAATTATTATACCTCCATGATCTGATCAAACATATAATATGTCGACATGATGACCAGAGATCGGATGATCGGAAACATTGATCTGATTACATAATTTGTCGATAATCGGCTAATACAACCCAACAGGTGCTACTAAACTGTCAAAATTCATTGTCGATTCGATCTAATTTCATTTTTTTCCCATTAGTTAAATTACTTCTAGGCCCTATATATTTTTATTTTTATATCAACATTTGTTTTTAACAATCAGTACATTTGTATTAAAAGTGCATTTCAAAATAACGAAAAAATAAATTAAATAAACTAAATATCCTCAAACACATTCCACTAATTTGATTATTTTATACCTTCCCATTCCCTTGTTAAATGCACATTAAAGTATTTTTATTATTTTACCGCTTATTGGTAATTTCTAATGGGAACTGCAACCCGAATATTTTAGTCATTCTTTCTTTCTTTAAACACAATATCAATAGAATGCAACAAACATCCAATGTCACACAACTTGAAGGGACTGGCGCATGCATGACACAACGTAGGCCTAATTATAAAACAACCAATAGGTTTAAAACCGGTAGGTCTCGTGCATAAAAATTTCGAAAGTCTTTCTTTTTATAAACATGGCACTAATGTGCAATTTTCCAAGTCAGTTTGGGCATTCTCATTGCCATTTTACTTATTCTTTAATAATCTGTGGTGGCGTCATGATTTGCCCGACGGTGGGTCCAGGGGTGGCGCCAGGACCTGCCCGACGGAGGGGCTAAAGGCCCCACGGGGGGGGGCTAGTGGATCGAATCGAGTCTCCCTTGGCTGGGGGGCCAGGGGGCCGCCTAGGGCCCCGGTGGGGGTCCAGGGAGTATTTGATGAATTATGGCGAATTTTGATTACTTATTTGATAGGCATCGAGTTACTATAATATGACTTCATGTAGGCTATGCTTTCTAATGTTGACATCAGCTTCCAAAACCAAAACATTTTTGAATAAAGCAAGAAACAAAGAGTATGCAATGTAACCATCTAATTTATTTTCAAATCCTCATTCTTGAAAGTGAAATTCTATATTTTGGAAATTTTGCATGAAATCTGTCAACAACGTTGTCATGGTCGAGGTTGCTTCACCTATCACAATGTATTCCAACCATCATGAGGCTATCTAAATGAGCATTTGTCCTAACAGAACGCAAATTATTTTTAATTAGTCTCATTGAATTATTATTATTATTATTATTATTATTATTATTATTATTATTTTGGTTGTTGTTGTGATGAAAAGTTAACACAAACGATATGGTGGCTAAACGAATATTACATGTAAACATTTTTTTTTATTTGTTTGCTTCCCGACACAATTTACCGTCTTCCCCGACGGGGGGGGGCTATAGCCCCAGCCCCCCCCCTCCTCTGGCGCCACCCCTGGGTGGGTCCGATGTCACAGACGAAAAAAAGTGGGCGTGGTCGGCGTCGCTCAAAATCTTTCAAAAGTGTTCCCAGAGGCGAAAAATATGACAATTTAGTGATTTCAAAGAAAGGCCTAATTTAATTGATTTTGGGACTCTATTAATACATACATTTTTTTTCCTCCCGACGAATTGTGGTTTTTCTCCACTGACGGGGGATCCAGCTCTCCTCGACGGGGGCCCTGCCCCTCCCCCACCCACTGGCCGCTGGCGCTACACCTGGTAATAATTCTTTTAAACGGATATGAAGAAATAATTAGGCCTAATTAAAACGGAAATGAATTGTTGGCACTTTAGTGTCAATATTATTGACCCGTTTCTTATCATAGTAGGCCTATAATAAGTCAAATGTTTAGGTTTTAAGAACTAGATTTTTATGAAAATTAGACCTGTCCACGTTTCAATCTTGCTTGTGAACAAGCCTATGGTTCAATCACGTGGGAACAACTTCCATATGCTCCACTTACGCATGTGAACGTACAACCACCCCACTATCCATTCTCTCGCTTGCGACAAATCGATTCAATATAAAAAAAAAAAACCTGACGTGTTTACGATTACGCAGCGTACGAAATCATATTATGCGATGGCAATAAAACGTGATAGTTGTCAGGCTGATTCCCAGTCAGTGTTACAAATTCAACGTTTGTTCAGAGCCGCGACCGTTGTTGGCCCGACATTTTTGACAAAGAATTAAATTACAATTTCAAGGCTCACTCTTTATTTGACATATCTTATTATAGTTGGCTCACGTCTGTTAAATCGTGAGATGCATAATGGACCAACTCAGACAGCGTCGGCCGACGCAGCCCGACCCGATTTATCGTCGGGGACAGTCTTAACCCAGCTAACAAAGCGACGTTGGCCCAACGTTGGTAAACGTTGGCAAGCGTCGGGGTCGGATAACTGACGTTGGTACGACGTTGGTGTTTGGTTGCAAAATTTGGTCGGAGAGGTAACATCAAACCAACATTGAAATTTCACGTTGGCCCAACGTATGAATATATTCATTTGTCGATTTTCCGATGTCGTCCCAATGTTGGTAAGACTACGGACGTTGGTACAACGTCACGATTTGTTACTGGCCCTACTAAAACTACTAAAAATATGGTTGGGTACTACCGTTGGCCCAACGTTGGCTAGAGGTTATAAATATTAGATGTGATTGTAGACGTTGTTGGCCCGACGTCGGTAAACGTTTTAAATGGTGGTTGGTTAAAACAGTTGGGCCGACGTTGGTTAGAGGTTGTAAATATTAGGATGTGATAGCAGACGTTGTCGCAACGTCAGAGTACTTTGTTGGCCCGACGTCGGTAAACGTTAGTGAAGGTTGGTTACAACCGTTGGGCCGACGTTGGTTAGAGGTTGTAAATATTAGATGTAATTAAAGACGTTGTCGCAACGTCATAGTACTTTGTTGGCCTGACGTCGGTAAACGTTTGAAATAGACGTTGGTTACCACCGTTGGGCCGACGTTGGCCAGAGGTTGTACATATTAAATGTGATTACAGACCTTGTCTCAACGTCACAGAACGCTGTTGGCCCGACGTCGGTAAACGTTTGGAATAGAGGTTGGTTACAACCGTTGGTCCGCCGGTTAGAGGTTGTAAATATCATATATTGATTTTGATCCCTCTGACTCTGATTTTATTCAAACACGAGTCGAAACCTGCCTCGACGACATCCACAGTTGGCTGTCCAATAACATGCTTATGCTAAACGAAAATAAAACTGAATTCATCATCTTCGGCACTAATAAATCTAGCTCAAGAATTAACATAAACTCACTCCATATTGGCTCATCTATCATTAAAACTTCCTCTACCATTTCCAACCTTGGCGTCACATTTGATGACAAGCTTTCCATGCAAAATTACATTGGTAAACTCTAAAAATCTGTTAACTTTCATCTACGTAATATAGCACTTATCAGAAAATACTTATCAAAACGAACTACGGCTCTGATTATTCACGCTTTCATTTTCTCCCGACTTGACTATCGCAACTCTCTTTTATTTAACATTCCTAAAATCCAACTTAACAGGCTTCAACGACTACAAAACTCTGCTGCACGCATACTAACATTTACTAACAGACGCACTCATATTACCCCCATTTTACGTGAACTTCATTGGTTGCAAATTGATGCCAGAATTCAATATAAAATCCTTTTACTGACTTATAAGTCACTGACTCTCAATCAACCCGCATACATTAATGAACTTCTTCCCAAATATGTGCCTGGCCGTTTTCATCTGATCTCAATTTAATTTCTGTCCCTCGCACCAACACTAAGACCTTCGGACACAAATCATTTTCATTTGCTGCAGCCACACTTTGGAACGCACTACCACTTCACATTAAAAAATCAACATCAATTGCTTTATTTAAAAAATCACTCAAAACGCACTTATTCCAACAATAACATGAAGCGCCACTGATAATTACTTCGGTTTCTTAAATGGCGCTAATTAAGTTCTTACCTTATTATTATTATTATTATTATTATTATTATTATTATTATTATTATTATTAAATATTAAAATGTGATTATAGACGTTGTCCCAACGTCACAGTACTTTGTTGGCCCGACGTCAGTAAACGTTAGTGGAGGTTGATGACAACAGTTGGCCGAAGTTGTAAATTTCAAGCGTTTACCGACGTCAGGACAACAGAGTACTGTGATGTTGCGACAACGTCGATAATCATACATAATATTTACAACCTCTAAGAAACGTCGGCCCAACGGTGGTACCCGACATCTATTTCAAACGTTTACCGATGTCGGGCCAAAAAAAAAAAGAAAAAAAAAATTGGTTCGTGTGGGAATCGAACACACAACCACCAGGT